GTCCGTCTAGGGCAGTAACCTTCACCTTACAGAAGATCAACAATATCTTTTTCATCCCACCACCTCGGAAAGTGTAATTTTGCGCTTCGAAATCTGGCTGGAAAATTCTATTTTATTCGCTTGAGCGGCAAAGTAGATTTGAATTTAGAACATCACATATAATGAGTACTCAATATAATTGTAAATTCAAAACGTCATTAAACCTATTTAATGTAACCTCTATGGTGCCAAATTTATGATTAGAACTTTTTAAATTGTGAAAAAATTTAAATTTGGAACCTTCTTGGTTTCTTTGTTTTATTTGCGTGCTTCGCGCCATTCTAGTTTTTCACGTTTTATTGCTTAAATATTTTGTCATTATAAATTGTTTTCTTTTTCATTTTGTCATTTCCTCGCTGAGGTGGGATGAAAAGTTACGTATTGCACTCGAGTGGAAAGATTTTTCACCTTGTGCTCGTTTGTTTCCCTCGCTGACGCTCAGGATTCTAATTTAGAATCACTCGCTGCGCTCTCTCAACTTTAGAATCCTTCGCTTGCTCGGTCATCCAAATCGAGCACGCGGTTAAAAAGGAACTTTCCACTCTTGTATAATAAATAACTATTAGTGGTTTTGTTTACAGAAGATCACAATAAAATAACAATACCTTTTGGTGGTGTTGTGTTTCTGTCCGTGAGTAAGGTTCCAGGACTCTACGGGGTAGAAGATTAGGTCAGGATGGGCAATGGCACGAGTGATATTTTTGGTATAGCAATCGTCTAAGAAGATCGAGGAGCTCGATGGCGCCAGTGGTTAGCGCGTTCTGCTGCAGTCGTTGAAGTTGAGCAACTTTCGCAGTGGTCGGTCATTAGATGGGTGACCAAAAATTTACTATCTCGAGCTCCTCCGTGCTTCGGAAGGCACGTTAAGCCGTTGGACCCGACTGCATCTGCAGTCGTTAGTACCCAACAACCCGCACTGGGCCCGCGTGGTGGATCATGGCCCAATCTCCCTAATCCATCCATAGGGAAGGCCTGTGCCCCAGCAGTGGGGACATTAATAGGCTGATGATGATGAATCGTCTATAAACTATGGTGGCCGTTTACCGTAAGCGTATTTGCCAACCTTTTAACATAAAAAAACAAAACAAAAACCCACCGGAGCAGGCACTTTTAAGTGTGTCAGCGAATGAATTGTATTCAGGTCTAGAATACTGTACAGTTTGTATACCGTTAATGAGAACGAGTTAGTTGGAGTGCAGGAGAAAAATAACCAGAGAGAGATAACTTCCGAGATATACAAAGAAAATATAACTAGAAAAAATTCCACGCGGACCAGGCAGCAGACGGGACTCGAACCCGCATCCTTCGCAATCCGGGCGAATGCACTGACCAATTATGCTACCGCGGCCCTCACGGACCGCGTCGAAATTCTTCTAGCCATTCTTAAGCTGCAAGGCAGCGCCATCTCTTCGCATTATAGGTAACCCACAATGTCAAATGAATACTTTTACAAGTATTAAACATTTGAAAGAAGAAATGAAAGAGACATGCTTTAAAATAATAATAAAAAAAAATTAATTCCAAGATAAATATTGTAAACAAAGGCACAGTTCAGGTGTAGGCTATTCTTGTCTCTAATGTGTGTTAATTAGTTCGCGTTTTCAATTGCACTGTCTTTTAATAAAGAAATAATATTTTATAATTACGATTATATGACACTCTTGGTAAACGAGGGTTATTGACGCGGCCTGAGTGTTGTTCGCGATGTTAGCAAATTTTTATGTACAAATAAACTGTACAAAGACAAAAAGAAGAATAGACAAAATGCATGTTAATAGCTGTAAAAAACATAGGGCTTTCTTAATCCAACGCTTCGTGTCAATAATTGCCACTCAGTGATTATTCAATTCAGAAAATTAATTGTATTCAGATAAATTGCATTGTTGCCTTCTTAGCAATAATACAAATCTTAATACAGATTTAATATAGGGCCATTACTCGTTTAATCTTCAAGGCAAGAGTTAATAGGCATTATTTGTGTCTGCATGCGCCAGCTGCTCCAGCTGCTCCAGCACATCGTTGTTTAACATCAGTTGAGATTGTGGTGAAACGCACTGAAATCTTTTATACAAAAACACGGAACGACGGAATCGCCGTTGCGTTAATGGCGCAATTACATTTGGTCATCATCATCATTTATTAGCCTATTAATGTCCCCACTGCTGGGCCACAGGCCTTCCCTATGGATGGAATAGGGAGATTAGGGGATTAGATGAAAACCGACGTCCGTGTCCAAGTACAAACTTTGACAGCTGCGTAATCGTATAGTCATCGTCAAATTTCGTATGAAAGGAGCCAGTTTGTTCTTACGTCCGGTAGGGGCGCTGCTTGGTTTTCAAAGAAACTGTCGATTACGGTGCTTGGGCCATAGGGTAGAAATCTTCCCTTCCTTCCCTAGGTCTTAGTACAGTCAATCTGTCGAAAAAAATATCGTTTCAGTGAAAAAAAAACCTAAAGGGTAAGTCTTGTTTTTTCTGTTGCCAAATGACGTCAGTAAGCCACCTTGGCGATGGGCATGTTCAACTCGTAGGCGTTTTTTGAAAAACTCAAAAAAACCGTCAAAAATTTTTTGAAACGCATTTTTCTTGTTTTGTATGCATTTTAGAAACTTTTTTTTCAACCATAATTGTAGAGGGCGTTGAGTGCTACAATTTATGTCATTGTTGCAATCTCGTACAACAAAAAATGCGCATTGTAGGTGGCGCTAAAGTCTCAAAAAAGTGTTTTTTCACTTTTTCACCCTGAAAATATCATTTTAATGGAAAACTTCAAATGGCAAAGTTGTTTCGTACATAATAACCAACCACTTTTGTACAAACATTTTTTTTGTATTACTTACCGTTTTCAAGTTATAAATTGCGCTGGTATGAAAAATCCAATAGAACGGTTTTGGGCAGTTCAAGTACACATTTGCAGTGCACATTTCAATGTACGTTTTACAATTTTTTATTTTTTTTCATGATTGAAAAACAAAAAAAATAAAAATAAAATAAAAAAAAATAGTTTTATTTTTATTTATTTTTTATGATTGAAAAAAAAATAGTAAAAACGTACATTGAAATGTGTACTATCTTGTTAACAAGCGCCTTAAGGCAGTTACCGATGAAGCTTATAAAGTTCTTATGACGAGAAGCAGCCCCATGTGTGGTTAATTCTGAAAGAATCTGATGTAACCATACAGCAGAAAGAGTATTGTATGTAGGGATTTCACAGCTGAGCTGGGGAGGTAACAAAAAAAATGTGTGTGTCAGCTCCGACGCACGACCGGAGTTTACACTCTAAAAACGATTGTCTTTGAACAGACACAAAACAAAATCAAGTCCGAAGAAGTCGGTTACAAGTAGAGATACCTCAGGAATCGTCCCATGGTTTCGACTATCATAGGTTCCATGTCACACATTTTACCATCTAACATCAGCGATATTCATCATATATTTTATTATGTATTTCTGGAAACACACAATTTCAAAAATATCACACACTAGCCATCATTTTGTAAATATGTATTATAATTACATTTGTACTAAAAATCACTATTCCAGAGTGCTGGACACTTACCGGCATTTCTCTATATTCTGTTATTTATTTGTTTTCATTAATTTTGCTCCGATTTTATCTATTTTTAGTTCATTTATTTTATTGACATTTGTGACAACTTAATGTTTTTTATCCGTTGCCATGGCTAAAAGTGAAAGGTGCGCAGATGAGGTTGCGCACAAAAACGTAACGAGGTCATTAATGTCATTCATCGATAGATTTTACTCCTCACATTTTTCTCATACCGAGCCCCTTATATATGCAAATCGATTCTTAAGGAGTAAACTCCAAAAACGGTTGGTTGTATTAGCGGAATATGAACAATCTCATGTGATATTCCTTCCTCACATAAACTGGTATGTAATAAAAACATTAAATAAAGACATTAAAGTGTCTACTAGGTAAGAATTGTAATTGTGAATGTATCGTTAGTCTTTAAATTGTATTGCAGAGAGCTATAATTAAAAAGATGTTTGGAATGAAAAAAAAATCAGTACACTTGACATCTATTTATAAATTAGATTAAATATTCAACCTCCATAAGTTAGACAAAATTAAACTTTTAAATTCATCGTAATGTGAGTAACCCTATAAATAAACGCACACAAAGTCACCTTCAGATTCTACCACGCACAGAAACCACAAAACCGCAAACGAATCCCGATAGAATCAATATCAACATTATAATAAATTCGCAACAATGTGATACTTGTACATACCTACTAACGATAATCGAAAGAATCGAGACATATACATTATAATCTTTCACGAGGCATACTTATCAGAATGTAAACAACAGCGGGTGACATACCTAATAATACTAATACAACAGCGTGTAACACTAACGCTGAAACGCTACGAGGGGTCAGATAGACCGATGCATTTGTACATTCCATTAGTGAGTGTATTGATGAGTTTTGTTACCGCTTTAAGATATAAAAAAACTATCCAGTGGATACTGAATAGTTTTTTGCTTATTTGCTCATCTTTTTACAAAAATAGACAACCTTATTTCATTATTAAGCTTAGAAATTTTATATGAAAAACGACAAATCATAATTTTTAATATTAAAATGTAATAAAAAATGTAAATCGTTTAAAAAAGATATTTTTTTCATTTTTGTGTCCATTCCAATTTTCAGCTAAATCCAAATTGCTTTTAAATATTAAAAAAATATGAAATTTCCAAAATATTGGTACTTACGGCAGAATAATCGATCTATGATATATCTTCTACATCTATATTAATTTAACTGACAAGTTTCTTTAATCTCCTGTCATTCTAATGAACCAAAAGTAGTCACGATAAAAAAGGTTTCATTTTATTAAAAAAAAATACCTGTGCTATCTGAGTGTTAATATTGTTGGCATAGCGAACTGTCTGCTATTTATACAAATACGACCTCCTCGGTGCGACTGTTTACATTTGATACTTTGCGTGAGTGCACGCCGGCGCCGCTCGCTCGCACAACCAATACTATAGATCCGAATCGATTACGCTTCGATTTTTAAACTATAAGGTTCGAATTATAAATTATTTCATTGACTTTATTTCCAAATATTAACCCGGTGGACTTTACAAAACGGACCCCTACGTTTCTAGGGTTAAATCGTGAATCTCCGAGTAACCGACTGATTGAAACAGATAATTGTGAATTTTCATGTGTGTTTGTTAGAATGTGATAAGAATCCATTGAGTGTGAACATTGAGAATAATATTCAGCTTAAATTTATGTAAGTACTTTTATACATTTTCAATGAACTCATAAATTATATCGTGTCTTTTTTATTTTCTCACATAAGTACTACGTAAAAAACTTTTTGATTTTGTATGATTTTATATTTTATTTACGTTTTGGCAATGATATTCATTTGCCATTATAATCATAACTGTACGTTTTCTATTAAATTACCTTAATATAAGAATATTAGCAGTTAAAATTCACAAGTTTGGAAAGGATATTCTATTCATATTTAAATTAATATAAAAAAAAACAACAACGATAAAACAGTCAAAATAATGTGAGAGTGATTTTCGCTGTCGAGGTCATTGTGAGCGGTTCCTGAATACTAAGAAATTAAAATCAACTTGATTGTAAACAATCAATTTACTTGAGAATTTATTGATACCTAATCGAGTTGCTGTCATGTGGTAACTATTATGCTCAGAATTTGTGATTGTAAACAATCAATTTACTTGAGCATTTTTGATACCTAATCGAGTTACTGTCATGTGGTAACTATTATGCTCAGAATTTGTGGGAAATATGCCAACAACTTTCCGATGTGGTCAGGTTAGGACAGTAATCTTTGAATCAATGTAATATTAAAATTTTTATATCATCAAGTTTCTTGTTGCCCTATTTTCATTGCCCCCCAAGGAATACGTTTTACAACTGGTAATTCATTTTAGTATAACTTATAGTGCATTTTAACGTTATTGAGCTAACTGACACAATTATTCGTTTGTTTATCTTTCTTTCTTTCTTGTGGCAGTAAGATAGTTCCAGGTTTTTGGGGCGAACACAACTATCTTCATATTATACTCATTACACCTCAGGTCATTACCCCAAAATACAAAAATTAAAGTAAAAAATTTAGTTACCGCTGCTGTCTCATAGTTCTATTTTTGAGTTGTTGTACATTCGCCACAAAGTTCATTTGTCACGAAAAAAAGTATGTGTAAATTCGGTACATTAATAGTAATAATAATAAATATTTCCAACACTCACACCAATTAGCCTAGCCCCAAAGTAAGCACTGTAAGGCTTGTGTTATGGGATGCTAGGGTAACGGATAGAATACATATACTGTACATATATAAGTATATTTATATAGAAATACATATTAAACATCCATGACTGGGGTACAAATGCTCGTATTCATCACACAAACATTTGCCCTCACCGGTATCCGAACCCGGGACGTCGCGAGTCGGTCACACCATGAAACCAGGACATTAACATTCGGTTTTATAAATGTAATGAATAGCATTTGATGAATTAACTTTCAATGTATAGAGAAAACAAAAATGTAACGAATTAACTTTCGATATATGGAATAAATAAAAATGTGACGAATTAATTTTGTGACGAAGTAACCCATGTTTTTGCATGCAGGTGCCAAAGTATCGAAGTTGTAATAAAAGTCAGTGGAATTGGATCACAGATTTAAATTAAAACTGCTGTAATCATCATATTATTATATTTTAATCTTAAAAAAACGAAAATTACACCTATCACGTGCATTTTGGCTTTAATTCATTCTCCTTTGACTTTTGAACCGGTTGGCGAGATAGTATTTATTTGTTTTTCAAGTTTCAATTACAGATTTGGACCATTGATTGATAAGAGAAAGTAAACAATCATATTAAAAATAGTACCTTCTACTTAACTTCAACTTGATTGTAAACAATCAATTTCCTTGAGAAATTATTGATATCTACTCGAGTTACTATCTTGTGGTAACTAATATGCTCAGAATTTGTGGGAAATATGCCTACATTTTTCCGATGTGGTCAGGTTACGGCATTATTTGAATCAATGTAATATTTAAATTTTTATATTTTTCCGATGTGGTCAGGTTAAGCCAATATTTGAATCAATGTAATATTTAATTTTTTATATTAACAAGCTTGTTTTTGCCCTATATAAATAATCTTTCAAGAATAAAGAGGACGAATTCGATTATTCCGCTGAGCTACAACCTTTCTGGCCTACTGCCGCCATACATAAAAACCTTTGGTCCCGGCTGTATCTGCAGTCGTTAGCACCCGCCAATCCACACCGCCCGCGTCATGGCCCAATCTCCATCCATTTCATCCATAGGGAAGGCCTGTGCCCCAGCAGTGGGGAATTTAATGATGATGATGATGATGCCTAGCAGCCGCTTCCAATTTCGTCCGCATTGACTTTAGTTTTAGTGAAATCCTACAGGAACCTGTAATTTTTTCGAGAAAAATGGTGTCCTATGCCTTAGTCAAGGTAAAAAACTATATGTGTGCCAAAATTCCATCCAATTCTGTATAGGCATTTTTGCGTGATTGTGTAACAAACATACAAACTTTCACATCACTTTATATTAGTCTAGTTGTGTGTTACCCGCGGTTTATTAGGGATATTTTCTCGCAGTAAAACGTAGCCTATGTGTTAATCCAGGGTGTCAGCTAACTCCATACCAAACTTTATTAAAATTGCTGTACCCGTTTAGGCGTGAAGAAGTAACAAACATACACACTCACACACTCGCAAACTTTCGCCTTTACAATTTATTTATTTATTTGATTAGGAACACATACAGCAATACATATTATACATTACAAAGTGATTAATAACATAAACACAATTATTATATGTTTGCCACTTACAAGTGTATACAGCATTCAATATAAAAATGACAGTATTTTTAACTACATCAAAAATAAATAAAACAATTAAATTATTAAATTAGAGTAAGATTAAAATTTAAATAAAACTAGTTTTTACGGGTTAATGCACGAAACTTTATTTATTTATTGACGTTTCGTAGCCTTTACAGGCTTCGTCGTTTATTCTGACGACGAAGCCTGTAAAGGCTACGTAATAAATAAAGTTTCGTGCATTAACCCGTAAAAACTAGTTTTATTTAATGAGTGATGTGCGTGAAAACTTAAGAAACAAATATAAAGATTAAAATTTGATAAAAAAAATGAATTAATAAATTGAATTAGTAATTTAAATTACAATATTAGTATGATAGTAGGAAAAATACAAATTTGTCATATTAACCTAAAAAAACAAGGACACGTGTAAATGCTGTACATGGTATCGCAAAATCTGAATTTATACAACATCAACATTAAAATAGTTGTTTTGCAAATAATGCAAAACCTTTATTTGCTATGTAAAACGGTTCTTAGCGGCAATATTTGAACAATAATTAACACTTGAGATATGAAATAGTAACTGTTCAAATATTGAACACACTCGAGAATTTCAATAATTTGCTTTTGTTAACAAAATAATTTAACATGCTTTACTTATTTTCTTTCGAAATTTCTTTAAATATAATCAATTATACACACACACAGTTGACCCATATCTGTATATTATATCAGAGTGTGGACGGTCACGAGAATTCAGTACTTTTTCCTTATAAGAAAAGCGCACAATGAAGTTATTATTACAAAAATATGCTCAACCATCGTATTACGAAATCAACCTTTACGAAAGTTGTTTGACTTCCGCAACTGCAGACCGTATAGGCTTACAAAACACTCTACGTAAATATATACACTACAGTAAAACAAAGTTATGTGTTCACTTTAAAAGGCAAAGGTTTTCCTCTTCCTTAGTTTGCTGTTTTCCGACTTCCTTTACTTAATATCGCAATCGTATGCAATGTAATTACAAGCGTGGCAGGTTATAAAGATTTTGCTATAAACATTATGACATCAAATTCACTCAAGAGCATCTACTTTGTTTGAAAATAAAATTTAATACTACTGCTATAATTTTTATTATTTTAAAGCATGTAACTGCTAGATGTTTAAATCTAAAGAAAATATAACTAGAAAAAAATCCACGCGGACCAGGCAGCAGACGGGACTCGAACCCGCACCCTTCGCAATCCGGGCGAATGCACTGACCAATGGTAGCAGTTACATGATTTAAAATAATAAAAATTATAACTATAATTGCTATTTATTCTTTCAAATGTTTAATACTTGTAAAAGTATTCATTTGACATTGTGGGTTACCTATAATGCGAAGAGATGGCGCTGCCTTGCAGCTTAAGAATGGCTAGAAGAATTGCGACGCGGTCCGTGAGGGCCGCGGTAGCATAATTGGTCAGTGCATTCGCCCGGATTGCGAAGGGTGCGGGTTCGAGTCCCGTCTGCTGACTGGTCCGCGTGGATTTTTTTTCTAGTTATATTATCTTTAGATTTAATACTACTGTTTAAAGCATTTATCGGAAGTTGCATGAAAATACATGTTAAAAAGACAATTGAGAACGAATAAACATTATGACATTAAATGCACTCAAGAGCATCTACACACATCAAAAGTGTCTAGGGATCAAGCATTTTTATGCGGATTTCTTGAGATTGAGATGTGGCTTTGTAATAAATTTATGATTTTATAAATTTATATGGATCCTTTTTGGTGCATTTCATAATTTGAATCAGGAACTGTGAATCAAATTCGAGTAAAAGATGAAAATCAGCTGTCAATATTTTCCCTATAAAAACATACAACGCATTGAAGACATTATTAGTGCTACTGTTTCCCTACTACTGATTAAAACCAACGTTATTATGGAGCGGCGACGTCATTTAAGCAGGGAAGAAATGCTCAGAGCCGTGGGAATGATAGAAGCTGGTTCCCGGCAACGTACTGTGGCTTTAGCTCTGAATACAAGTCAGAGTGTTATCAGTCGACTTTGGACACGATACCGAAGCACTGGTACCGTGGCTGAGCGCCATGGAGGACGGTATCGCTGCACCACACGGAGACAAGACCGATACATTCAAATCTTAACTCGAAGAGCTCCAACAATAACCGCCATGATGTTAGCCGTGAGGCTTCATCACTCTTCAGGGAACTTAATTAGCGACCAAACAGTCAGAAACCGCTTGCATGAAGTGAACCTTCATTCCCGAAGACCGCTACGGGTACCACCTATAGCAATGCACAATCGTAGGATTCGATATCAATGGGCTCTTGAACACAGAAATTGGGCAGAAGAACAATGGC